TGTGTATATGTTTATATAGACACGAATGTGTGATTAGCATTACCTGGGCCTTTCTCTCTGCTACTCCAACCCTGGCCGCTGTTTCATTTCCTCCAGGGCATAGACCCATAAATTTCTAACATCCTAAACAACCCTGCCCCTCTCTCCTCCAGAAAGGGACTTTTGGCCATGGGAGTCTCAAGGATTTCAGACCTACCCCGCCGTGGGCTTCCTTGGACCACCCTTCCTGCTAGGCTTCTGGACTGGCTCTCCCAGTGTCACCTGGCTGCTCATCCCAGCTCAGATGCCAGCAGCAGGGCAGCCCTAGCTCCTTCCAGGTGACTTGGAAGTCAAGTTCACAGACCAGCCTCCTCCCAGGCTGACAGGTTGGCCCGGGAAAAACTGCTGGCCTTGGGCTGAGTGAGCCCTGCTGCGGAGAAGGTAAAACTGAGACTAAAGGTTCTAGGAGTGGACCGGTTGGAAGGGACTTTTCAGGGAGGGCTGGGGTACCTTGGTCTAGCCAGGTTCACTCACCTTTCCAGGGGACTCAGCGGATGGCAGCCGGCTCTTCAGGACTCACCAGATGGCAGCCGGCTTTTCATTTCACTTTCGATTTCCTTTCAGAGGCAAGTCTGAAAGGGAGGCGGGCAAACGCGAGAGAGGAGGAGGAGCAAGAGCTGGAGAGGAAACTGAAGGGGTGGGGCGGGACGGGAGACAGGGAAGAAGTGGGAGGAGGGAAGGCGGAGTTGAGGAGGCTCAGGTGTCCCGAGCTGCCGATGCCTCTGGCTGGTGCTTCTTGGGCGCTGGGACTGAGTGAAAGCCTGTCAGCATTTAGCCCTTGCTTCCCACTCCCTCCCATGTCCTCACTACCTAATACATAGTAAAATACCGTATCTACTCGATGGAGGGGTCATCACCCCACACCAGCGTGCTATGCCTACTCGTGGGAGTGCTGTGAGGGAGATTTGGGTGGAGAGAACAGTGCCTGGAGCGCTCCCTCACAGGCCACCGTCTGCTGCCTACTTCCAGAAACAGTTCCTTTGCAGGAGATTTAATAGTCTAACTTCAGGGAGTAAGAGTTTTATTGTGCATGACCCCAAGGCAGATATCACGCCAGCCAATGGCAAGAAGGGGATTGCCAGTTATTGAGCACCAACTAACTGTGTTCTTGTCACTGAGCTAGAGATTTTCTCAGGTTACTCTTATTTTTATTTTAAAAATTGTAAAAAACACATAACATAAATTTTACCATCTCTTAACCATTTTTAGGTGTAGTTTGGAGGCATTACATACATTCACATTGTTGTGTAACCGTCACCACTATCCATCCATTGAACTTTTATTCATCTTGCCATACTGAAACTCTGTAGCCATGAAACAATGATTCCCCACGCCTCCCTTCCTCAGCCTCTGGCAACCACCATTCTATTTCCTGTCTTTATGAATTTGACTTCTAGGTACCTCATATAAGTGGAATCATACAGTATTTGTCCTTTTGTATGACTTACTTCATTTAGCATAATGTCCATGTTGTAGCTCATGACAGGATTTCCTTGCTTTTTAAGCTCGAATAATTTCTATTGTATGTATATACATTTTGTTTATCCATTCATCTGTTGATGGACACTTGGGTGATAACTTCCACCTTTCAGGCTATTGTGAATAATGCTGCTATATCAGGTTATATTCTTTAAGCCACACAACAATTTAGTGATTTAGGGGTCATTAAACTCATATTACAAGAGAGGACACAGAGACTGAATGGAGTGAAGTGACTTGAAGTGACATAGTAAGCATATGTGTATGACAATTAAAGGGCCAGGGAAGACCCTCATTTTAGTGACAGCTGGGACATAACAGGCTGCCCCGTCAGCTTAAGCAGAGGCTTTAGGAGCAGATGGAGGTGATGTGGTCATAGCTGTAGAGGAGAAAGGAGCAAAGAGGAAGTCTAGAAGAATCCTCAATTCCTTTCAACTCTTGACATTCTTTTTCTTTTTTGTTCCTTTGTAACTTTAAGTAAAAACATCAGTTGAACTTTGCTTGGTATTTTCTATAGATTTAGGAAATGTAAAAACATTTCATGCTTTTTTGAAATTCCCAGTTCTGTTTTTAAGGCAATTTGCTTAAGGAAAGCAAAGTGAAAACAGTGATAAAAAAAAAAATCAAAGGAAGCAGAGACCTGTATGTGAACTTGCACTCAGAAAAGGGCTCAGCTTCATACCACTGCAGCCCCTTTGTTGTTTCCTGCAGGGACAGAATAAGTAAGCCACTCTCGGTGGGGGTAGAAAAGAGCAGAGGTCTCATGATAGGGTAGACATGGATTCAGTATTAACTCTGCTGTTTACTAGGTATGTACCACCTCTCTGAGCTTCAATTTACTAATTAAATTAGGCTATCAATATTTATACCACAGGGTTGCTTTGGTACATGTTCAACAACATGCACACAGATACATTACTATAACATGTATAGCTGCAACAGTCCCCACCTTGGTAATTGGTTATATGAATAATGTTGCCACTCATTCCTAGTCCCCTCACTTACTGCCAGCACTTCAACACTTCAGTGTTCTTTTCCTGATGAGGTGACCCACATCTTCATTCTTGAAGGATCGGTGTTCTCAGTGTTCCTGTCTTTAACACATTGGCCATTATTATTGGACACTGATATCTAGGCATCTCTCTAAAGTATATTTTGGGTTTTAGGCATAGTCTTCTTTGCCCCTATTACATGCCAGCAACTCCAATTTT